CCCTAAAAACCCTAAAAATCCTAAAAACCCTAAAAGCCGCAAACCTTCGACCGGCCGCGGCACTACTTCGGCCATGGCAATCCTTGATGGGCTCCATATCACATTCCCCTCCTGCACCACGGATGGACAGTGTTTAGGGTTTGTGTTAAAGGGTTTAGGGTTTAGGGCTTAGGGCTTAGGGGTTTAGGGTTTAGGGTTTTCAGCTTTTTGGCACCAGGATTAGACTGAAGGGGTGTTTAGGCTTTGTGTTAAAGGTTTTAGGGCACGGACAGACATCTCGAAGGCTCATGTGAAAGGCTTGCGGGCACCAGGATTCGACTGAAGTGGGTGTTTAGGGATTTAGGGATTTAGGGGTTTGGCTTTAGGGTTTAGGGTTTAGGGGTTTAGAGTCTAGGGTTCAGGGATTAGGGTTTAGGGTTTAGGGGTTTAGGGCTCCGACCTGCTATTGAATCCTCGGCACCCAAAACTCTGAAATCAACCCTCGCCCCACACCACGGACTTCGAGAAAAGTCCTGAATTTCACGACCTCGACACCCTAAACCCTAAACCCCAAACCCCCAAACCCCTAAAGCCATAAACCTCTAAACCCTAAACCCCAAACCCTAAACCCTGAACCCCAAACCCTAAACCCTAAACCCCAAACCCTAAACCCCGAAACCCTAAACCCTAAAGCCCTAAACCCCCTGAACCCGGGCCCTCAACAATCTCAGTTAGAAGGGTTAGGTGTAGCTCGCCAGAGGAGAATTTACATGGTTTAGGGTCTATGGTTTGGGCTTAGGGTTTTTGGGATTTAGGGCTTTAGGGTTTAGGGTTTAGGGTTTCAGCGTTTAGGGTTTTAGGGCCTATGGTTTGGGCTTAGGGTTTAACCAGGGTTATGAATAAGGTAACTATACTTATTATTACATTTCACCCCCCAAAAAGGTACTTCCAGCCTTACTTACTAAGTCCCATCATCCTCCCTTATAGAAACCTTCTAGATCCCTTTAAGGAGCCCTTTAAGGAATCTTAGTCACTAAGTCCCAGGATCCTCCATGTAAGGTGTAAGATACAAATCAGGGGTACGTGTAGGATAGCATTACCAGCTCTTCACGCCGAGATACTCATTGATCTTGGGCTTGCGGTTAGGGGTTTTGGCTTTAGGGTTTAAGGTTTAGGGTTTAGGGTTTACGGTTTAGGGTTTAGGGTTTAGGGTTTACGGTTTCGGGGTTTAGGGTTTAGGGTTTACGGTTTTAACTCCCACAAACTACGGTGGAGCCTGAGAAAAGCCCCCCATGGATTACAGTACAGTCCCTTTTGAAAGGATACTACTTGGCGCTTAGGGTCTGTCAAGGATAGAGGGGTCGGAATAATTAGCAACAATATCCCCTTACAACACGTTCTATTTTTAGTAGAACATGCCACAAAACGCTATTCTAACTACTAAGACCCTTATACTACTGATGAGGGCAAAGGTGCTTTTTCCCTAAGCCTCACGACCCTGCTACCCAACAACGACCTTGATAATTTTCAATGGCACGTTGGGGCGTTATTCATATAATAAATGTATAGGTAAATTTACCGACCGCTATAACCCTGAACATGTGAAAGTTGTGGTTAGAACATAAAGCCTCCATGTAGGGCTTAGGTTGTAAGGTAATCAGCATACTTCGACACCAAACGCCTAGCAGGCGACCCTCACGCCAAGAGCCCGACCCCAAGCCCAAACCCCCAACCCTAAAACGGACAAACCCTAAACCCTAAACCCTAAACAACGGTTTAGGGTGTAGGGTTTAGGGTTTAGGGTCTGGGGTTTAGGGAGGGTTCAGGGTGTAGCTTCCCTCGCCTCATCTAACCACGGCTTCCAAAAGCTGCTCCTATAGCGCAAGGAATCCTTCTCCTGCAAAGCTTTCGGCTTTAGTATACGGGTTTAGGGTTTAGGGTTCCCTAAACCCTAGACCCTAAACCTGAAACCGCAGGTCTTATAAGGTTGTTTGTGGAGTTGTGAACAGGGTTTGGTAGGGTTTTGTGATCGGGGCCTTCATATACAGAAGGGAGGCTTCTATGGCATAGTAGAGTGTAACCACATAGGGACTCGGGTGAGGGTTTAAGGTTTAGGGATTACAGCTTGGATTTAGGTCGTTAGGCTCGTTTCTTTCCGCTCCGGTTTCAAGACTAGTTGAATGCCTTGCCGAGCTTTTCAGGCTTCGTGGATGCATTCGGGTTTGGGATTTGAGGGTCAAGGGTGGTTAGCCGATTGTTGCCGTAGGCTCCAACCCTAAACCCTAAACCCTAAACTAAAAATCTAAAACCCTAAACCCTAAAACCTTCAAACCCTAAAACCCTAAAACCCTGAACCCTAGACTCTAAAACCTCAAAACCCGAACTCGAAATTCCTAAAACCTACACTTCTGATCCCCAATGTAGGGGCCCTGATAATTAGAATAGGGTTTTGGGGCATAGTATGTTATATTTACAATAAGGAACCCCCAAAATAGTATGGGTGATTATTCAGGCCCCTAAATTACATTCAAAGCCCTTCGACTCAATCCCTGAATTCAGTTTCAAGTCCAGGGTTCTAGGGTTTGTTGAGGGCCTAGGGTTTCCCTAAACCCTAAACCCGAAACCCTAAACCGTGTTTAGGGTTTAGTTGAATTTCGGGGTCGATGAGATTGGCGGCTTTAGGGGGTAAAGTCAGTATTGTGGGGTTTAGGGTTGAGGCCACAGCACAACAGGGAGGGGGCCTGAATGACAACCGGGTTCTGGGGAACCCTAAACTCCTAAACCCTAAACCCTAAACCCCAAATCCCAATCCCTAAACCCTAAACCCTAAACCCTAAACCCTAAGCCTAAGTAGAAAAGCACTAGAAGTCTGTGAGGGATGCTACTACGAATCAGTCAAACCTCTTTACCAAACTGGGAGGATCCACCAGGGGCCAGGGGCCAGGAAACAGTACGTGAGGGTTTAGCTGACTGTCTAGGTCCTAAATAATATGCAGGCCGTGGCCTTACGTCTACGGTTCCGGGTTTAGGGTTTAGGGGTTGAGGTTTAGGGTTGAGAATTTCCGGGTTGGGGTTTAGGGACATGGGGTCGAGGGCTCAGGGTTCGGAGTTTTAAGCTAAGGCTCCGGCTTGGGAGTAAACGAGGCACTGACATCTCATTGAATAGAAACTGCACACCTGCAAGCCACTTGCACCGTATGACATTCCCTGATTCCTAGATCGAAAAAGAAGCTGCATCATGTGTGTGGTTCTCCAAACTAGGGTCTCTTTTAGGCTCCTTTTATACGGGTGCCAAACTATTTTGGTGGGCCTAAAAAGGTACCCTACTTTAGAGTACTACCCATGCGAGGTCCTGCACAACTTCTATCGATCCCTTGGGCAGCTCTTGTGATTATGCCTCTGAACCTTTGTGGTATCCTAAACCCTAAACCCCAAACCCTATATAAACCCCAAACCCTAAAACCCTAACCCTAAGCCTTAAACCTTAAACCTTAAACCCTAAACCCCAAACCCTATATAAACCCCAAACCCTAAACCCCAAACCCCGAACCCAAAGCCTTACACCCTGAACCCTAAGCCAAGCCAAGATTCGATTGTTTTATAGAAACCATAATAAGGATCCCTAGAAAGGTAATTAGGTTCTTTAGGGTCAGGTCAACCCTAAGCCAAGCCAAGATTCGATTGTGGACAGTGTCTTCTTCAGGTGCGTCTTCTCCTGGTAAACCCTAAACCCTAAACCCTAAACCCTAAACCCCTAGATTTGGAGGCTCGGGGCTGCTCAGGGCTTCGGCTGCGCAGTTTGAGGCTTTCGGCGTTGTAGGCATTCCTTTAAGGGCTCTATAAGAGATCCATTAAGGGCTCTAGAAGGGAATTATGGTTTTGTATCTTTTGGGGTTTGGAGAGGTGTAGGGGGTTTAGAGTCTAAGGTGGGGCTTCGTGCTTCGGGCTTTTCGGTATTGGTGCCGGAAGAAACCAGCGAATGTTTTTGTAGTGGCCACAGTTCACCGTGCGGCAGAGACCGAGGTAAACACAACAGGATTAGTTTAGGAATTGAGGTTTGCATATGGGCGCCTCAACCCTATACCCTAAACCGTCAATTTCAGGTGGGGAGTTTAGGGTATATAAGGCTTCTATAAGGAAATTTGAGGTATATAAGTATATAAACCTGCTATCAGGCTCCTATAACGGTAACTACCCACCTGAAAATGTCCTAGACAACCCTAAACCCTAGACCCTAAACCCCTAAACCCTACACCCTAAACCCCTAAACCCTAAACCCTGAACCCTAACCCAGCTACAAGGGCTACTAGAAGGCGGCCCGTTGCAGTTTCTTGGCGCCTCGGCGCTGATTCGCGCTTTGGCTTCCGTAGCATTCACCTCAGCAGCTCGGGTTGAGGCGCCCTCAGACCCTGATTTTAGGGTTTAGGGTTTAGGGTTTAGGGTTCCTAACACCAAACACTTGAGACCCCAGCCCAGGAACCCCATGGCTTGAATGCTCCAACCCTGAAAGACGCAAACCTGAAAACTCCTCAACCAAAACATCACAGCCCGGAACCCTAAACCCCTGAACCCCTAAAGCCTAAGCCCTAAACCCTCCAAAGCCCGAAAACCCTGAACACCGTGGCCGTGGGGGGCTTTTCAGGGCTGGTGTGGGGTGTGGGGTGCAGAAGTTTCTGGCTCCCCGGTTTAGGGAGTTGTGGGGTTTAGGGCCTTAGGGCTTAGAGGCTTAAGTGCCTCAGGCTTGCGATCCAAGACACATGAAAAAGCTGAGAATGGGTGCTGTGGGTGACGGTGGAGATGCGAGTTCCTGCTCGAAAGTCTTGGGCAGTTGAGGACCTGGGGGTTGGAGTAATATAGGGGCCTTAATAATTAGAATAGGGCTTTTGGGGCTAAGGAACCCCCCAAATGGCCTTGGTTAGTATTTAGGCCCGTACACTAGGGTGAGAGCCGCTTCGGGTTTGGGCGTAGCAATCTCAAACCCCGACGTGTTAAAAGCATCGTGAGGATCATGATGGCCAAATACCACTGACAAGAACACATACTACAGGGGCCTTAATAATTAGAATAGGGTTTGGGATATGTTATACTATAACTATAATAAGGAAGGCCCCCCAAAACCCTATTCTCATTATTAAGGCGCCTACATTAAGCAGAGCACAACAAAAACAAACATCACCAGCTCCTCGACCTCCCCGCTGGCTTAGGATCGGCATCGCGGTGCTGGCTTGCCGGCCGCGGACCCGGCAAGCGGCGAGGCTGCCAAGGACTCTGAAAATCGGCAAACCGAAGGGACACACTGCACCCGAACCTGGCCCGTGACACCCATGCAGGAAGTATTGACGAATGCTTGGCCTCCACATACGCTTCAGGCTTGGGTACAACCCCGTATAGAAGCCTGTGCTGCCGCGAGACTCGAAACGCTCTTCTACCCTTCCAAAAACCAAGGCTCAAATCCCGATGATATAAATAAACAGAGGCTCGGGGGCCTATCATACAGACAAACATCGGGACTGTATTGCTGATTATTGAGACCTGTATAACACCTTGACCTTACACCCTAAGCCTACGGCCGCTGGAGGAGGACTTTGAAAATCGGCTTGAGACAGTGCAGCGGCGAACGCGCAATGTTCCTGCGAAAGCCACAGACAACAACTTTCGGTGTCAAGCCAAGTCTCCAAATGGTTTAGGGGTTACCCTACACCCAAACCCTAAACCCTAAACCCTAACCCTAAACCCTAAACCTTAATCAAACCCTAAAGCCGGATTCGGGGCGCCTCTTTACAAGTGATCTCTAGCCTGTGGGGGTAGGACGCGAGCTGTCGCAGCTCTTCGCAGCACTTGACATAAAGCCACTTAAGGGCCACACGATTGTCGGTCTCTTGCACATAGCGATGACGGTGACGATGATGCCGACGAGTGGTGACGATGGTGGTGATGATGATGGTGATGATGGTGACTATGGTGATGATGGTGATGATGACGACCACGACGACGACGTGGTGGTCGTGGTGGCGCTGGCGGCGGTGGTGATGGTGGCGTTGCCGATTGTGGCAGATGCGACGGCGGAGTTGGCGATGATGATGATGATGATGATGATGGAGAAGAAGATGATGATGATGATGATGATGATGATGTCGATGATGACGGCAACGACAACAGTGATGATGAAGCCGGAGATGCACCGAAAACAAACAAGCCGGCCAGTCCAGTTCCACAAATGCAGTCAGGACCTCGGAGGTTTGCTGCCGGCCAGCTCCATCGCAATATAGAACATAATGGTATGGTCTACTTTCTCTTGCTTTCTATATTATTCTATATTTGTTACCGTCCGACATAGGTTAATACAGCAGAGTATCTTATGACGGCATGTTCTCGCAAAACTATATCACCCGTCTAACTCTTTACCACGGCCGTCTCAAAGGAGGCTTGTGGTGCGGGGCTCAGGGTTTCAGGTGAACCCTTAGAAGAGACTCTCCAACGAACCCTATAAGAAACCCTCCCGAACGGCTCTGAGATCTCTGCCGCAGGCCCGGCCCCTTCGTGAAGCAGCGACCTCCTCGTCTCCTGGCCATGATTATGTTATGGTGCTTAGGGTTTGGGTCTAGGGTTTAGAGTTTAGGGTTTAGGGTGTAGGGTGTAGGGTATAGTATGTTATATTAGAATGTTGTATACATTACAGCACATTAGAGTACATAACTGTGCATGTTACGGTTTATGGCTTAAGGTTCCAGGGTTTGGGGGTTTCAGGGTGCAGGGTTTAAGGCTTCAGGGTTCAGTTCAGGGTCTAAGGTTTCGGGGTTCCGGGTTTCAGGGTTTAAGGTTTAGGGTGTAGGGTTTAAGGTTTCAGGGCTTTGGGTTTGGGGTTTAAGGCTTCGGTGCTGGGGCGACAGAAGCGTTCGAGTTGGGTTCAGGGCGTAATAAAGGGGCCTTAATAATTCAATAATGAGAATAGGATTTGGGTTCCTTCATACTCTAATTATAATAAGGAGCCTACAAAGCCCTCTTCTAATTATTAAGGCCCGTATGGGGGCGAAGGGAAGGATGCGTTCAGCGGAGTTGGGGTTAAGAGCTTGGGCGAAGGTCCGGTTTGGGACCCGAGGGCCCGAGGGTTTTTTTAGGGTTTCGGATTTAGCGATTCGGGTTTAGGGTTTAGGGTTTCGGATTAAGGGTTTAGGGTTTCGGATTGAGGGTTAAAAGTTTAGGGTTTCCTGAACCCTAAACCCTGAACCCTAAACCCCACACTGGATTCCAGGTTAAGGGTTCAGGTGATCTGGGCCCTAGGGTTGGCCGTATTCCATGGTGTTTGAGAAACTTAGCGTCTCGACCCCTCGCGGTTTAGGGTTTAGGGTTTAGGGTTTAGGGTTTAGGGTTTAGGGTTTAGGGTTTAGGGTTTAGGGTTTATGAAGTTTGGGGGGCTTAGGGTTGCTTACGGAGATGTCTGGCTTTGCAAGTCTGTGGCTGTCTTCGGCTTTTAACCAAGCAGAAAGGGTTTAGGGTTTAGGGCGTAGGGTTTCGGATTTTGGGTTTCGGGTTTAGGGTTTAGGGTTTAGGGTTTAGGGTTTAGGGTTTAGGGTTTAGGGCTTAGGGTATACGGTTTAGGGTTTAGGGTTTCCAGTCTTCCCAATCTGGGCACTGCGAGGGCAAAAGAGCTTCCGCTTTGGGAGTCAGGGTCAGTATACCCTAAACGCACCGTTCAAAACTTCAGGGAATATCCCGATTCGAGCCTCCCATCCCAACATATTTGGGTAGTTCTCTGAATTAGGGTCCCTTTGTGGGTCCCCAATATAGTACGGCACCCTTATAAAAAGGACCCTCAAAGGGACCCTAATTTGGAGGAGAACTACCCATACGGGGATTTAGGGTTTAGGTTTCAGGGTATAGGTCCGAACACCCGAAACCCCTTCAAATCCGACCTGGCGGAGACTGCCGAAATGATCGGAGATGACGAAGAGGATAGCATTGAAGAGGTTTGTCTTCCCGGAGCCATTGAAACCTGGGACGCCGCCAACCCAGACCCTGCACCCAACGACAAAAAACCTGAAACCAGGCAAGGTTTAAGGTTCAGGGTTTAGGGTTTAGGGTTTAGGGTTTAGGGTTTAGGGTTTAGGGTTTAGGGTTTAAGGTTTAGGGTTCATACCAAGAACATAGAGGCCGTCATACTCAGAACTCAACTCCGGACATCACCCCACCCACCCAAGATTCTCAAGACATTAGAAACCATTCTACTTTTATTAAACCCTAAGGCTGAAATCCTGGACCCTACCCCAAATCCCTGGTCCTACCTCAACGAAGAAAAAAGCCATATTCAACGAATGGGCCGGCCTGGGCAGGCCTTCGTTGAACGTGGGTTTTTTGTCTTCGCTGAATTTCGTCAACAATCACACCTATTCCACGAAAATAACGGAGGTTTAAATACTTCAGGGTTTAGGGTTTAGGGTTTAGGGTTCAGGGTTTAGGGTTTAGGGTTTAGGGGGCTTACGGTCTAAGGCCGTAGGGCCGAGCGTTTCTACTAGAGGGCTTCAGCGCTTTTCTCAGCCTGAAACCCCTAAACCCTAAACGCGAAACCCTAAACCCTAAACCCCCAAAGCCCTAATTACCTAAATCCCTAAACCCTAAACCCTAGACCCTAAACCCTAAACCCCAAAGCCCGAATTACCTAAATCTCTAAACCCTAAACGATCAAGATTCTCTTGAGCCCTAAGTGGGTGGCTCACATCTACTTCGTGGCTTGCGGCTGACGGGCCGTGAGGAACCTGGTTGCTGGCTTCTCTGTTTAGGGTTTAGGGTTTAGGGTTTAGGGGTCAGAAAGTATATGTGTAGTTTTCTAAGTTAGGGTCCCTTGCAGGGTCTTTCTTTATAAGGGTGGCCGTGCTATATTGGTGACCCTAATTTACAGAACTATCCATACTATACCATAGTACACCCTAAACCCTTTTCGATCCCTTATACAGCTTGTTTACAACCGTTATAGAACTCTAGAGGGAGCAGCGTTCAAAAGCTTCAAATCTTTAGGGTGTAGCTCAAACGACCCCCTTCCCTCCGGAAACCCCAAATCCAAACCCCCACAAACCCGAAAGAAGGGGCCTGAGGAATTAAACTCTCTTGTTTTTGGGCGCCGGCAAGGACTTTGGGAATTAGGGTTTAGGGTTTGGGATGTAGGGTGGAGGGTTCCATTCGGGTTTTGTCGGATCGCAAGCCCCGCTGAACCTGAAACCATGGTCCGAGCACAGCTGAGCAAATAGCTGTTTAGATCATGGGACTTAGCAAGTATGGCTATAAGTACATTAAGTTGGGGCTATAAGTAGTTATAAGTATAGTTACCCTAATAACCTTAGTTACTAAATCCCATGATCTTTTAAGTAGGGTTTAGGGTTCAGGGATCAGGGTAAATCGGCACTGGGCTCGTGGCCCACGATGACGTTCACGCCCGGGTGCATGTCATCGTTGAGGCTCACCTGTGCCACGTAGACAGTAGCCTGAATCATCCTAGGCGGTTTTTGTGCGTAATAGCACAGAAACCCTAAGGAAGAGTAGTACAAGTTTTTGAAACCCCCTATATTTAGAGGGCTTTAGGGCATGGCTGAAAGTTTAGGTGCTACGGTTTTAAGACGTTTCAAGGCCTTTTTGGGGCTGCTGTCAGGATCTTGACCACCAAACACCTCCCAAAACCCTGGTACTTGGTGGATCATGGGACTTAGTAAGTATGGTTATAAGTACCTTGATTGGGGTTATAAGTAGTTATAAGTATAGGTACCCTAGTGATAACCTTAGTTACTAAGTCCCATGATCGATCCTTTAAGTAATACTTAAACTAAGGAAGGGCTATTGCAGTAACGTTACCATACCGACACCTCCGGAATAGCAAATACTGTTGATGATACAAATCCTATACTACCTGAAAGGACCCTAAACTATGTGAATTATGGTATGTTCCTTAGCATGGGTAATGCACGGTTTATATCATCAGCCGTAGTAACTTTTCCGGCTTCTGTCATGCCATCGCGGGCCCAGTCCTCCGCCCACACTTCACTACTCCATGGCCGTGTGCGCGGATACACAGAGGGACGCAGGCTTTGGTTTAGGAATTGGGTTTAGGGTTTGGTTTTTAAGGTTTCAACCTGAACCCGCAAGATCGCCTAACGCCGCGTTTCTGTTTGAGCCGGGAACGGAATAAAGGCTGGCGGCGGTGGCGGAGCCATCCCTTGAGCTAGCACCGCAGCGATCGCACCTTGATGGCCGATGTTTTGTGCTTGCGTCGCGGCAGCGTGCGTCGCATAGTTGCCGGATCCTTCCGACGTAGTCTTTCCAAGCTTTCATCATCTGGTCCTTTGTCGCAACTTCGCCGATTGTAGGGTTGACCCCGATGTCAGCAGGGGAGTATCCTGGCTGGAATGCATTCGCAGGTATAAACGGGACATCCCACTGCTGCGCCAAGATTGCTCCACACCATGATTCCCAGGATTGCCGTGTCCAGCGACCCCGCGTTTAGGGTTTAGGGTTTCCGGTCCATCTACATACGACTTAGGAACGATGCTGCCTTTTATAGCCCCTATGCTACAACGACCCCTGACCTTACAAGGCGCAAATCCCCAAACCCCCAGTCCCTAAACCGTGAACCCTAAACCCGAAACCCCAAACCCGCAGCCAAGCCTTAAGCACCCCGGATCTCGGAATCTCCCACCCTTTCAGCCAGGCATCCCGCACTCCGAGCCCCCTCTGTTTCACGGATCGGGTTTAGGGCCCAGGGTTTAGGGTTTAACCCATCAAGGACTCTGAGCCCTGAACCCTAAACCGTAAACCCGAAACCCGAAACCCTAAACCCTAAACCCTAAACCCTAAACCCTAAACCCTAAACCCAACCCGAAGCAGCCTTCGAACCCCCGAACCTTCGAAAAACCTTCGAACCCCAGAGCCCGAAACCTTCGAACCCAAGAGGCCCAGAACCCAAAAACCTGGATCCAAGCCGTAGAAGCCAAGAAAAACCAGACAGTTAACATAAGACAAGAATAGTTTAGGGGTTTAGGGTTTAGGCTTTAGGCTTTAGGGATACAATACTCACCGTTATCATCACAATAGCCACGATCACTATGAATGAAACGAGCCTGGTCCTTGTAGGTCTTGAAACCCCGTAGAATCACCTCGCAGGCGCAACTGCGATCTGAAGGGTTTTGGCGGCACACAGAGACGTAATACATGTGCGTGCATAACGTAGGGGCCTAAATAATTACCAATACTATTTTGGTGCTTCCTTTATGATAAGTATAGTATAATGGGCCCCAACACCCTTTAGCACGAAGGTTCGACCTACTCCTTGTTTCGTCGAACACAGAACCCCAGTCCTCCATGGAATCCTGGCAAACAGGACCCACCGGCTTCTTCCCCGGAACATTAAAGAAAAGTAAGATCACACAACGGAGGGATACAATACTCCGCCGGCCATTCGACGTAAATCGCACTTTCGGTACTCCGCTACTCCGCAAGACGTCTTAAGACAAGAAAGGCAGAGTAGGTCAAAACTTGTGTCCTCCCCACGCCATGTACCATACTATCTGTATACACCCTGTACTTCCAAGGACCTTATAGTTAGTGCCCGAGACCCCTTAAGGACCCAAGAACAAGGTCCCTGGAAGCATAGGAACATGTAGAAAAAGAACTACGCAGGCATTTTATGGTTTTTGCCGACGCAGGAGTGTAAGCCGGTGCAGGACTTGAGGAGTGGGAGGTTCAGAGTTAGGGTTTAGGGTTCAGAGTTTAGGGTTTTTGGTTCAGGGTTTAGGGTTTAGGGTTCAGGGTTTCATTCCCAGGCTGCTGAGGTGAATGATGGGATCCTTGAGATCAGGCTCGGAGGGCGTTGAAGATCTAAGAGGCAAAGGTTTAGGGCTTAGGGTTTTGGGTTTAGGGTTTAGGGTTTAGTGCTGCACGGGATTGGGTCTTAAGCAAGGGTGGGGTTCTAGGGATTCAGAAGTTTGTGGCGGGCTTGATGCCGACTGGGCTTGGCTAAGGGCTTGGCTCCGATTTGAACAAGCCAACCCCTCTCCAAAATACAACCGACCACGGGCAGGCAAGTATAACCCTAAACCCTACACCCTAAGACAGCAGAACACAAAATAAACAAAAACTGAAACTCCAAGATGTCGGGCAGAAGCGCTGGGCCAAGTTTGATGCCTTTCTGCTTCTTTCGGACAAGTTTGGGATAGGGGTAGTAATATAGGAGCCTTAATAATTAGAATAGGGTTTTGGGGGTCCCTTATTATCATCATAGTATAAAAAACTAAACCCTTTTCTAATTATTGAGGCCCCTATATTAGCCCTTGTAAAGACTCCGATCAGCACAACTTCATCACATCCTGTGAGGCATTGCAGATTCTAAGGTCTAGGGTGGATAGTTGAGGGTTTAAGGTTTGGGGTTTAGGGTTTAGGGTTTAGGGTTTAGGGTTTAGGGTCTGGGGAGGCCTGTTTGATGTGCATGGCGACAGCACTACCCCACGAGTGCCATGAGGAGGCCACTCAGAGGCCCTCCGATTAGTCTTCTTTAATGATGATACGCTTAAGTTGGGTGTATAATGAAGTGTTGCCTGTTTTGATGTGGCCAGGTGCAAAGCAGCCAAAGCATACGAACAGTGCTTCTAGCTCCCCAGTTTATCTACACTGTCTTAGTCTTGTTGATGTACAAGGTGGTTCCTCGTTGACACTGGTAATCTACAGTTACCCATGAGTCCTGCTTCGAACCGAAAAAAACTGCGAGGCGAAATGCCAGGCGCAGCGCACTCACGAGACAAGGACGAGCAAGCCCGCAACACCTGGTTGAAGAATTTGTCAAGGCTCCGACGACGACATAGTTATCCACCGGAAATCAGTTTTTGTAATCTAAACCTTAAACCGTGACTTCGCAGCTGAAAGCCGGGTCGCAACAACTCATAGTTTGAAACACTTGCAGGAAAGTGGTCGTCAGAACCCGACACTTAAACCCAAAACCCTCCTAAACCCTGAAGCCTAGACCCGGAAGCCCAACTGCGCACGAAAAAAGAATCGACCGTAATCTTAACCCCCAAAAACCTACCTTGTTAGTGATGTTTTCAAGAAGTTAATCATGATCGGGAAACCTAAAAAAGGCGGGTCTCTGAGGGCCCAGGAATCTTTTTAGAATCGAGTTGGGGGGTATGTTCTACCATGCTTTAAAAAAAAGGAACCCCCACAATAGTATTGGTAATAACTTAAGGGCCCTACATTAAAACCCTACGTAAACCCGAAAACCCGAAAGCCCTAAACCCTAATCCGTCTGTACCCTATTGGAAATAACCCTGCATTAAAAACCCTAAAACCCGAAAACCGCAAAGCCCTAAACCATCCTAAACCCTAAACCCTAAACGCTAAAACCCTAAAACCCTCAACCCCTAAAACCCTCAACCCTAAACCCCTAAACCCTAAACCCTCTTTATCCTAATCTTTTACCTTTCACTCGGCGGGAGCTTCAAGAAGCTTGCTCAGCTTGTCGGCGCAGCCGCGAGCGACAGGCATCAGCTCCTGGGTAATTCTCTAAATTAGGGTCCCTTTCAGGGCTTAGGGTTTAGGGTTCAGGCTTCAGGGTTTAGGGCTTAGGGTTTAGGGTAATTCTCTAAATTGGGGTCCCTTTCAGGGCTTCGGGTTTAGGGGATTTTTGTAACATGGGGGGTAGCCCTCTAGATTAGGATCCCTTTTAAGGCCCTCTGTATAAGGGTGCCGTATAATTTGGGGACCTGAATTTAGAGAACTACCCTCGTCACAACGCGCAAAATCTCAAGGTGTTGAGGTACATTGTCCTAGAAATATAGTATATAAGGAACCCCAAGGAATAGCGTTGGTAACTAATTAAATTCGTCAGGCTTCCATACGTGTCCCTCGGGTTTGGGATGCCAGGTTGTCGGCTGTTGGTCTGGAGTCTCGGATTTAGGGTTTAGGGTTTAGGGTTTAGGGTTTAGGGTTTAGGGTTTTGGGTGCAAGGTTTAGGCTCCAGGCTTTAGGTTTTTGTAGCTTAGGATGGAGGGTTTAGGATTTAGGGTTCAGGGTTGGGAACCCTTGCAGAACTCCTTTATACAGACCTTGTAGAACAGTTATGGAAGCCGTTGTAGGTCCGGCCCTTCGGGTATGAAGCACTTGTGGCTTCAGCCTTTGAGGCTTGAATGAACCCTGAACCACCTAAAAACAGATCCTTATGAGGTCCCTCTGGATTCTTTTGGGTCTTCTAAGGCTTTAGAAAGGCTTCTTGGGGCGTACAGAAAGGAGCCTTAATGGTGAGAGTACGCCTGTTGTACATCATGCTCGAAGTAACCAGGCCTACGAGGGGCTGTTACTGCTAATCATTCAGACCCCCATACTATTGAAGAAGAGGATCCCCCAACCGGAGCTTAGCTGAAGACTGGCTTTGGGAAGGTTGTAGGGCTGCGCTTTGTCGCGAGCGGCAGGGTGTAACCCAGTAAGCCGGTGCTTTGAGTCGAGCCTTTGGAGCGGTTGCAGGGCATTGCGGTTTAGGGTTTAGGGTTTAGGGTTTAGGGTTTAGGGTTTGGGGTTTAGGGTTTAGGGACACATCGCCTCACTGCCCACCTGGTGGCGAAGCCCCTGACCCTCAAAGTAGAAGTACCGGAACCCTGAACCCTAAACCCCATACCCCTAAACCCCTAAAGCAAACACCAAACCCCGTAAAACCTAAACTCCTTAGATCCCACATCCCCCAAACCAGAAGAACCCGTCCTCCAAGAAGCGATTCGCATCGGCTCCGCCGCCCTGCGCACGATATGTCTCTCAATGTACGGGCTCTGATATTTAGATTACGGTTTCGGATAATCACGGTATAATGATACAAGGACTAGTGATAGTAAGTCTAAACCCTGAAACCCCTCGCCCCTCAACCTAAAACCCAGTAAACCCAAAGAGCTGCAAAAGGAAAACCCAAATCCTGAAGCCCGAAGAAAGCTCCCTGAACACCGACTTCTGCATGATTCCGAGATCTATGCAACAGCTAGGCTGAAGAGACTCTCATCTAAAGATTTTGACTGGGACTTTCGCATTGCGCGAAAAATCACGCGCCCAATGCAGTGGTAATGTAGGGGCCGAAATAAATAGAATAGGGTTTTGGGCTCCTCTATAGTATAACTACATTAAGGAGCCTCCAAAATAATATTGGTAATCTGTTTCTCCTGATTGCTCAATATACACTACAGGAAGCCTACAGTAGGAACCTGATTAAGAAACC